TGGAGAAGAACACGCAGACACGGCGAGGAGTTACGAGTCACTCGGAGTAACACAGGATAACTTGGGCGACTTTGCTTCAGCGCTTCAGTCCAAACAGCATGCTCTTGACATCCGCATTAAATTGTATGGAGAAGAACACGCAGACACGGCGCGGAGTTACGAGTCAGTCGGAGTAACACAGCATAAGTTGGGCGACTTTGCTTCAGCGCTTCAGTCCAAACAGCATGCTCTTGAGATCCGTGTTAAACTATTTGGAAAAGAACACGCAGACACGGCGAGGAGTTACGCGTCACTGGGAGTAACACAGGACAATTTGGGTGACTTTGCTTCAGCCCTTCAGGCCAAGCAGCATGCACTTGACATCCGTGTTAAACTGTTGGGAGAAGAACACGCAGAGACGGTGAGGAGTTATGAATCAGTCGGAGTAACACAGCACAATTTTGGAGACTATGCGTCAGCGCTTCAGTCCAAACAGCATGCGCTTGACATCCGTGTTAAACTATTTGGTGAAAAACACCCAGTCACAGCAATAAGTTACCTATCACTCGGAAAAACACAACACAATCTGGGCGACAATGTATCAGCCATTCAGTCAATAAAGCATGCACTTGATGTCCATATTAAACTGTTTGGAAACGAAGACGCAGAAACGGCTACGAGATACCAATCACTCGGAGTAACTCAGTACAATTTGGGCGACTATGGTTCACAGCTTCATTCCAAACAGCACGCATTTGACATCCTTGTTAAACTATTTGGAAAAAAACACGCAGACATAGCAAGGATCGGCCACCTTCTTGGAGTAAGACAGCACAATTTGGGCGACTTTGCGTCAGCGCTTCAATCCAAGCAGCATGCACTTGACATCCGCGTTAAGTTGTTTGGAGAAGAACACCCCGACACGGCTCAGAGTTACGAATCAGTCGGAGTAACACAGCACAATTTGGGCGACTATGCTCTAGCCCTTCAGTCAACACAACATGCACTTGACATCTACGTTAAGCTGTTTGGAAAAGAACACGCAGACACGGCGAGGAGTTACGAGTCACTCGGAGTAACACAGGATAACTTGGGCGACTTTGCTTCAGCGCTTCAGTCCAAACAGCATGCTCTTGAGATCCGTGTTAATCTATTTGGAAAAGAACACGCAGATACGGCGAGGAGTTACGAGTCAGTCGGAGTAACACAGCATAACTTGGGCGACTTTGCTTCAGCGCTTCAGTCCAAACAGCATGCTCTTGAGATCCGTGTTAATCTATTTGGGAAAGAACACGCAGACACGGCGAGGAGTTACGAGTCACTTGGAGTAACACAGCACGATTTGGGAGACTATGCTTCAGCGCTTCAGTCCAAACAGCATGCACTTGACATCCGTGTTAAACTATTGGGAGAACAACACGCAGACACGGTTAGGAGTTACGAATCACTCAGAGTAACACAGCACAATTTGGGCGACTATGCTTCAGCGCCTCAGTGCAAACAGCAGGAGTTTGACATCCGAACTAATATCTTCCAGCGCCAGAGATCACGGAAATTTTGTGCTGGCGGTAACAAGATGGCGGAAAGAGTGAGCAGAAAACGAAAACAGATTGACTACAAGGCACTTCACGAGTCCTCTACAGCGGATGTATATCAAGTGAATGGAAAGAAAAGATATCGGTCGAAATCAAAAGACTGCTCACGAAGTGGAAAAGCGGCAAAGTAAGTACTTAATGCCACTATTAAAGTTGCTGTTCTAAGGCTTGTGTTTGGCCGACCATTTTACTTCTCATGTGTTTTCTCATAGGAGATAGAATACCTTATCGAGTGGAAAAGACGGCCCATGTCATCACGTACCTTGGAGCCTCCCCCTCATCTATCTAAAGAGCTTATTAGATGAGAAGAATTATAACCGGAACAGAACGCATAATTTTTCAAATTATTTTGGTAAAATGTATCGAAAGCTTCAAAAAGTTGAATCAAATATAGCATCTTCAGAACAAGTCAGGCCTTTTAGTTGACTTCCAATATTTATAATATCATGTTTAGTTAATAGGTATAATTTATAAAAATCTGTAAAATTTATAACCCATTTGCTAAGAATGTGTTCAATTATTTGTTTTTTATCTGTTAAAACTGTTTTTCTAAATCTCTTCTTAACTTTATAAAAAGCCTCCAAAATCCTCAGAAAGTAAAATCAGCATCTGATGGATTTTATCTGGCTGTCAAGTCACTTTTAATATTAAATGATGTCAAGTTGCAGCACACTTACACATTTACTATACATCGATATTTTTTAACAACAAAGGAAAATCTTATCAAGGAACTCTAACTACACCTTGCTCGGCGTAAAGAATTTTAACAAGTTGTCTCTACCCTATCAGTGGTATATTTTGGATGATCGTGGTTAGGGAAAGGCTGCTGATTTTCCTTTACAGATGAAAACATACCTTAAAAATCACAAAGCATTTCATTGCGCAAGCAGGGAAGCTTATTGAAGCACCAAAATGCCCCTTAAGATGGTATTTCTCACAATTAATACTAAAGCATGCAGTAAAGAATATTTACGTACCTAATTTCTAGCCAACTAATAATTTTTTCAACACCAATGAAGCATTGATATTTGATTGATAGAGATACATGTAAAGAAGGATACTTAACAATTATTCGACAAGCGTGTGTTAGATACGAGATGATAGATAGCCAACGAGGCGCTACGCGCCTCGTTGGCTTTAATCATCTCATATTCAACAAGCGCGAGTGGAATAATTGTTTTATTAAAAAAAAATCGCCTCCAAGATATTAGAAAAATTTTCTCGACTTTATTTTGTAAGAAGAAACCGGATGTTACAATGAATAGATATTAGATTATGGTATATTGGCTCATATAACATAATAGCTAAGCCAATAAAAAGTCTTAAATTGTATTATCCAATGATCCAGTTTTGGATAAAAAGTGTTATAACGCAACCAAAAAAAGCGCACGCTCTGATTGGTCAATTTAGTGTCCACCTTTTGCCCATGGGTGTACGCTGCTGACGTGAGCAAATGCAAAGACTACTTTCTGCGCATGTTTTTTCTGGTCACGTTAGATTTGTCAATAAAAGGGAACTCTTTTGCTAAGTATCGCTGTTATGTTATAAAACAAATGGTTAACACTACAACGTGCACTACTGAGTTAGGAATGGCATCAGGAGGTTTTGCTAAGCATCAAGAAGCTAGAGTTGCATAACTCAGTAGTGTACGCTGTCGTGTTTACCATTTGTTAATTTTTTATATTTGGATATACTTTAAGACATAATGCAACCTACTTGACATCAATAGTATTAAACTATGTTTTAAGTTGAATCTGGATCTGCTTTCTTCCTTTAGTTTCCCTCTATTTCCTAGCCAGGACTCTTGTTTCTCTTTCTAGCCTGCCTTGGATGCGGTAGCTTGTCTCTCGACTAACTCTGAACCATGATCTGGAAACTATGGCATTGAGAAAATCAATGTAATTAAATCACATCCCTCCTGGACATTGTCATGCCATATCTTTAATAATGGGTGTGGTATATTTACTGCCAAAGCAATTTGAAATCTAGAAATCCCTTGCTGTTTTCTATATGACCAATATGCATCTGTGACAGAGATTTCCCATTCATAGCTTCTCTACACGTACCATGAAATAATATATGAGATTTTGGTGATATATATTTGGTTTCTCATATTTTATGCGAAGGTAATCTGCTTTTCTGAAATCAAATATACAAGTGTGTAAATCTAGGCTTTCTGTAAGGAGTCCCGGTTCCTCGATGTATTAGAACGCGCGTCTTTTTGCGGTCAACCTTCGATGAGCAGTTCTGTCAAACCTCTACTTTTTTTCAGGAAGCTGTGCATTCTGTACAACCTACATGGCGTAGGTACCTGAATAGGCCAGGCTAAGAAGTTGGTTTTGGGAAAAAGAAAATGCTGGCCTATTGTAAAAAAATTTTGCGCAATGCTACGGTGATTTCTCGACCTCCATACACACTCACACTGGTCGATTTGCAGACGGATGTGCAAGTAGGGAAAAAGGAGACAATTATCTTAAATTTAACAGCATGCACTTGACATCCGTGTTGAACTGTTTGGGAGGAACACCCAGACACAGTAAAGTGTCACTATCAAGCGCAATCAACCCGTTCTCGACGGCCTGTAGCTCTTACTGCGCAACCATTTTGGTACTAACTTTTTTCTTTCTGTCAAATGCTGTTTCAAAATACCCTCCCTTCAGCAATGACATCTCAAATTCCTTGAGCGACCGCAATCGTCTTTTTTAGTACTATTTCAAGTGATTTCACAAAGCGTAAAGCATTACGAAGTACGACGTTTTTGTAGGGGAACTTGATATTTGTTTTTCTGAGGTAAACGAAACTTCCTCGAGTTCACTGCCTCATATCTTTGATTTATATCGGTCAAACTCAAAACGTTTTCTGGAGTATATCGTTCCGAGGTAGAGAACTAATAGAAGTTCTGTATGAAAGCGATCCTCGCAGTCTTCAACCCTACTTATGTAGTAGTGGAATTAAGGCTTCAAAAACATTCAGGCCGGTACGGAATTTGAACCCACTAACCTCTGCGATACCAGTGCAATGCTCTACCAACTGAGCTAACAAGCCGACTGGGAGCTGGTCATTATGTTGTTGATTTATATCACTTCGACGGGTTTAGTACGAACCAACCTAATGCATGAATAACATAACATAATTTACATTTCATTGATTGAATAAGTTTTTTATCTGATGCAAAAGGAAGAAAGTCCTTTAAACATACGGCCAGAGGTATAATTGATTGATTAGAGTTATCAGGATAAACTTGAGCTAAGTGGAAGTATTATAATTAATTCGAGTTAACGGGAAGTTCGAGTTAGCAGATTGTAAAGTACTGGAAAAATGTGGTCAAATCCAAGGGAAACTGGATCTTACTCGAGTTAGTGGAGGATTTGAGTAAACGGCTGTCCTTACCGGATGTGAAAAGTTTCGAAAAGAAAGGGAATTTCCCTTGACCTATGGCAACAACATTTGTTAAGAACAATAGAATATTTCGTTAAGAATGATACGTAAGCAAACGCGAGTTACATTCCCAACAATGACAGCCAGTTTCGGGATGAATTTTCTAGTTATAGTCGTGGGTTTCGTGACAAATTATCTGAACATAATCAGCCTCATCGCGCACCGCGAAGACTCTTGACAGCCGGTTTAAATCAAATTTCATGGTAGGTAATATTAATTTTCTATCTAATGACTAAACAAGACTAACTGCTATTTAAGGAAGGTCTATGATAATTTGGTTCGTTACTCAAACGGCATCTTTTCTAAACACTACAAGAAATATCGGTGCATTATGTACTCGTCTGATCGATGACCCTTGTTAGTTACTAGGATCTGAGATATGTTATTTGCTTATTTAAAGCCCTTAGCTGCCAAGAATTTGTTGTGTTTATTACGGCGTCATCACTTTTGATTTCTTGAATTCCGACATACTTTCAACCACGTAGGTATGAAAATGGCTTGGGGTATATCTAAGAAGAGGATAAACGGAAATATAGTGTCCGTTAGTGGAAAAAAAAGCGAAGTGTACACCTTCAGTGTGATGTTAATATAAACGATTTTCATCCCTGAATATCGGCAGTGTTGAAGTTAATTTATGTAGATTTTGTCGTAGAGCCATTTTCCGCTGGCTTCGAGTCTTCGAGATTAATGGCAACCATTGTGCGTGCGTAACACGCAGTATTATTATTATTATTGTTATTATTATTATTGCAATCCTCTAGTGTTAACGAAGGGAATGTTCTATGAGAACTATACTACTTTCGTCTGTTTTCAAGGTCTTAGATAGTTTGGGGTGCCTCATGCATATGCATTACCTGAGATCGGAAATTGTGCACTAACGAGTAATTTAAATAGTGTTGAATAGAGGGTAAATTTCCCTTGCAAGGGCGCATCTGATCTATGATCATATCTGTTTCCAATATCAATAGAGTCTGACTCTGAATTTGAGTTGCATTTCTAACATTGACAGCCAGTTTAAGGATGAATTTGAAGTTAAAGTTATCCACTTTGTCCATTACTTATAGAGATAATCAGCCTCATTGATTGATAACTGTTTTCCATCAACTTACTTAGCTTATTTACAAGACAAACCCTATATATATTAAAAAAAAATAAAGAAAATGAATACATCGATGAAGTACATCTTGCTGTTTTCTGATCGATGTTCATTTGTGAGTCACTGGATGCTGGGACAAGTTTTTTGTTCAAACAGTCAAAACAGTATAAAAGGAGGAGGAAATAATTAAACCATATACCATGACACAATCAGTCATTTTTAAACTTTTCGCGTAGTTACCGAAATATCTTTCGAAGTTTCAGCTAAACTGAAGTCAGGGGGTCGCAAGAATGGACAAGACTGACCACGAAAAGCACATTACGGGATTTTTCCAAAGTTCTTAGCTCCCAAAACTTTGTTGTGTTTGGTACTGCGTCATCACTTTCGATTTCTTGAATTCCGACGTACTGTGCAACACGAGAGTTTCAAGACAGCCTTAGATACATTTTAAGAGAGGATGAGGGGAAATACAGTGTTGTATTTTCTTCTCTTTTCAAAAGAGAAGAATATGCAAAGTGCACGCCTTCAATGTGATGTCAACTTAAACGAGCTTCATCTCTGAATATTAACTGTCTTGAAGTTTATTCTATGAAAATTTTGTTGTGAAGCTATTTTCCGCTTCGATTTCTACGTGATTGATGGCAATCCTTGTGATTGCATGACACATCATCAGATCATCGAGTGTGAACGAGAAGAACATTGTTGAAGAACTCTATGATTTTAAAAGAAACTATTTGTGTTGTTTCTTTTTTTTTCTACCTTTTTCCCCCTTTTCTCGCCGTCGCCGCGCACAAAGCAGATTGAAAGAGTCAGACGGAAAGCAGCTCGATTTTCGTGTTACGGTAGTGATCTTGTTCAAACGCCTTAGTGAGAATTCGAGCGTGAATTCGCGCGCCGCCAGGGGATTTCTTGAGGTGAGGTGGCAGAGAAGATTTTGAAGCTTCGAATT